ATGCGCCATTTGTTCGGGGTAAACGGATGTCACACATCTCTTTGCCTAAAAAGCTATAAAGCGTTAAAATGGTAAGAAACGGCTACATGAAATGTCGAAATAGTGTCTATCTTCCGGATGGAATGAGCGCAAAAATCTACCGCAATTTGTTACAATAGAGGACTTATAAAATTCGCCGAACAGCTGTTTCCAAATTAAAATGTTCTTCGTCAAAAAACCTCTTAAATGCTACGTACCAATAACGCGGGTTCAGAAAAGCGTACATTTGAATTACTAACTTCCTTACTGTCTGAGATAATAAAAGTATCGATCCAAACGGTCAAGACAAAACTGATACTATTCAACTAGACTTTTCAAAAGTGTTTGGTCGAAACAGCCATGACTGCCTTATTAATAAACTAAAGCTGATCACGAACAAGTAAATCCTTATCGACAGTTTGTCCTTATACATACTTGTTCGTTTAGATTTAGGGTCCGAGTAAGTGTCCTTGTGTTTGGAGATACAGAATATTATGGCGGAGTCCTTCAGGGTTCAACATTGATAACACTTTATTTTCTAATAAACATACACAACTTGACTCAGCAGGTTTCTTTTAAGATTCTCCTTTTCGCTAACGACGTGAAACTGAAGAGAGAAATCTAAAGTCAGGAATATATGTTTATCTGACAGGATCATTTAGCAGTTTCATGGCTCAGCGAAAAACCATCCTTGGAAATACAAGCTGGGGCTTCTACGGCACAACGAATTTCATTAGTATAGTCTTAATAAAACATAACTAAAAGTGTCACTTATAGAGGATTTAGGTGTTAGTTATTTAAAAACTAAAATCCTATGCTGTGACAGAAACGCATTTTGTGCGAACATTACGCTATTAACTCAGATGAATTTTCAAACGGGTCGATGGGAAATGATTCCACAAAATTTCCAACAGCTCCATACCACTTCATTTAAAGATTGCGACTATAATCGTTCCACTTCATTGCAAGAAAAAGAATCATTTAGAACTCGTCTAAAGAAAGTCGATCAAATTTGGCCGAGGAACTAAGCTTAAAAATAAAATGAACGACTAGTAGCGTTTGATCTGTATCCCCTGAAATACAGAAGATTAAGAAGGCAACTCGAAAATATTGCTGAATATGATTAAAAAATTCTCGAAAATCCCTGTTACACATCCAAACTCAGTAACAAAACAGTGACTCTCCCAATGGTATCGACTTCAGTGACTGGCATGGATTTTTCAGGATCTTGTCGTTATTGTAATTTCACCTCCCAACCTGCCGCAATTAAGGCTGTAAGCACCCATATTCCGCGTTCAATCTTCGCGTAATCCAATCACAATTTAACAGCGTCCTCTCTTTCACTCATCTCCCAACCATCTCTTGATCGGCGCCCGCTGCATGCGGTGAGGTGTGACAACGTTGTGAACCTCAAGATGAAAAATTGCATGAGGCTTTTGAAGCCCGAAGATTAGGATTGGGGTAATAATGCTTAGTCGCATGCCTACAGATTGTGATGCTGCGTAAGCCTGGATATGAAGGTTTGGGTATACAACGTATCCGTGCATGCAGTTCTACCCTGCACCTGTAAGACATGGTCCCTTAGAGCAGAAGATCCCCAAGGAGCCCATGTCTTCGACCACCGCTGTCCCCACAGGATTGATTTCATCCAGTGGAGACAGAGTAATCAATTCTGATGTGAGGTGCCGTCTTCGCATGTGACTGACATCACCACGCACTGAGAGTGGTGGCGACTGGGAAAAAACAATACACATGCCATCTTGGTAGCTCTTACACCACTCAATGTTCGCTCACCCCGGGACTGGTTGGAAAAGCCGGAAAGGTGATGAGTATACAACATTGAACCATGAGATAAAGAACAGTTGCATTCAGTTGTCATCTGTAGGCTCCTCAGAACTCCCTGGGTAAAGTCCGAAAGGACGTGGGACTCAGTAGTGAGACAATAGCAGGCACGAGTACATTGACACCACTGGCAATCATGCTGCAGTTTTATTGTTTAGTGCGTTACTGAAAGCTGAAACAGATGCGCTGAATGCTTATTCGTGTGCACCCTTGATACCACCTAACTGTTCAGAAATTTCCCTCTTTCCCTCCCCCAACTGAAACACATTGCCGTTGCCTAATTCTCTCACGCAACATCTACTGGTGCTTATGTTGTATCGCGTCTGTGGTCAAAACTGAACAAGTAACCAGTAGCAGTGAACACACAGATTATAGAAGCTACGAGCGAAATATGAAACACCTTTTGTGACAATAGAACTGTGCATGGTTTTTGTCACCCTTAAGGCTGAGCTTATCAGAAGGCTTATTACAGCAGTATTTCCTTAGTTTTTCTTCACATGCTCTCTGATTGATGTTCTATTGAGGGTATGGTGAAATACCATATCCACCTGAGATAACGGGCAGTGTTTGGAGTATGAAGGGTAACCTTAGCACACTAACATCACTTGAAACTACGGCCCAAGTTAGCAGGATCGCTGGTGTTGACTACTCGATTATGTTCACCTTATAAGAATTTGACTCCATTGGGTCGCTGTCACAGATCGCGGTTACAACCGAGTAGGAATCGATAACAGACTCACTGTTCATAGATGAATTTGGGATGAGAATTAGAAAACCGAATGGGAAGCAGGCCATACAAAGTAGATCTTAGCAAAAGGTTTTCCACCCTAACTTATGCCGTCAAAATGTTCATCTTTCCCAGATTTGTGAAAGCTATAGAATCGGATCAGGACAACTAAACCTGACCTGTAGTTTTCCAATATATGAGAATTTGTAACTAGTGAGTTCAGTTTACACGCCCAACAAACTGACTGCTTCAAAATTTCTGTTCAGAAAAATAAGACTTCCTAAATTGATATTTCTGAGTATGGAGTACTTTGTGCAACAGGCCCACTTATCAAAAGTATGCACAATTCTAATCTAGTCGTATCAGAAGCTGGATATTAGTATTAGTATGCGGAACAAACAACAGTAAGCAACAGTAAGTATCAAAACCAGAGAGTAGCTGTCTCCTGTACCAGTTGAAACCCTCCATACCTGGAACGACACATTGTCAGCGACCAAACCACCAACCAGTAATCCAATCGAACGAACCATAGTGAGCAACACCTACATACCGCCTCAAACATTATAACCAAAACAGGTATGGATGTACTTCAGTCGTGAAGTACTGATTTGCGCTTGGATACGGAACCAGCTGAGAGAAACAATCCCTCTGTTCGAAATACCACAAATATTGATGTCAGCTGTTAACGATCAATCCCCGACTGACACGCCTGTTCAGAGTTCGTGAGATTAAGGACCATGCAGTGAATTAATCTTTCCGTGCTGTAAGGGCGTGTCCTGATTACCTGACCGGTATGTCATGGTTCCAAAGCCCTACCAACGACTAGCGATCACGTAATTGTGTCACGACAAGTCAGCTCGACGTTCTGGTCGTTGCAATTATCTCCAATATTGTTCTCGAGAAGCAGTAGCTCACATGAATACACTAAGGCAACAAACATTTTGCTGGGTGGACTGACACTGTTGGTTTATTCATATGCCAAGACTGCAGTGTTGTGATAAAATTGTCGAATACGCCAAGCTACCCCTAGCTTCGTATATCAAGAACAGAACTCAAGACAGAATCATACAAAAATCAATGAGTTTGCTAGCCACCAAAGCAATCAGCATCAAAAGGCCAAAATTACATATCATTCACGAGATTGTCACTGGGATGATCTGAATTTGTTAGGAAATTAAGCTGTCGCACTGGTGATGCAGATAACTGAATCCTATTATGAATGGAAAGTAGTAAACTAAAAACCATGACAATGATACCACTTGCCCTGCAGTAGGTCACCTGGGGAATAATCGCTTATCGTAACAGCATTACATTCCGAAACATATGGGAGATTGGTCTGCAGTAATGGCGCAATTCGGAGTTGAAAAACCTCGTTTAAGCAAACAGTAAATACAGCATGGAGGTAAATGACCCAATGCACAGCTGACAACTTACTTAGCCTAACTGATATCTAGAACTGACGTTACTAGGTCTAAAAGGAGGGTTGAAAGGAGACTAGATACACACCTCGAGTCCTACGGTACCGCTGGGCTATACTCCAAATGCAGTAATACTAACTTGAGACCAGATTAATTAATTAATCGTATCTCTATCCTTTCAGGTTTTTCAGAAGATAATTGTATTCATTTCAAAATCAGAACGTATTCCAATAAGAGAGACGTATAACCTAAGGAACCGCAGTTCGCTAATTTTACAACACGAAGTTTGAAGTCTACAGAGACTCCAACGTGCACTTACATGCTCGTGTCGTCTTGAAGTGGGATGGTAGCGAAGACACGTATGAAACAAAGAGAGGCGAGCATTCATACAGTCATCTAGGAGAATGCTGGAAATCGTAGTAAGTCAGCAAAGTACGATGCTTAAGCACACGAGATTAATTTCAGCAGTAAATATGGAGAAATATCAGTTTTGAAGTGTTTTATTTAATAGATACCGACCAACGACATGAAGAGGATTGGCCGGAGAAGACGAAATTACTCACACCAATAATCCGCTCTGACCCAATACCACAAACATAGTGCGGAGCTAACCTCATTGGTGGGTGATACACTGTAGCCTACAGATGGATAACATTTCAGTCATTTGCCAAGAGTTTGAAATCCCTGTGATCACATAGTTACTAGTTGGCAGCAGTAAAGAGTTTATCTTTTTTACACGAATGTCAGTCGAGCAACAACTGTCAGGCAACGGTTGAGCAGAAAGTGCACCCGACCAGAAACCACACTACAGCCGTAACCAAAGGTTCTAGACGGAGAGCGTAGGACAGATTCCGAGCCTTTCTTCTGTAGAGCCAAAATCCTACATTATGCTTAAACACTTCACTGAAAAATACTTCCACACTAATGGGCGCACTTGGCGAACTGTGCAAACGCGAGTTCTTAAAATACTGTACAGTCAGACAAAAGAAGAACTTCCATCAAACGTGTATTACTAATTCACATCAAAATACCATTTTGTGTGGATAATCCCTTTTACCTAAGGAGAAAAGTGAGCGCATGTAGGCATGAAGCATTTTTGAATCTGGGTGGCTTTTCATTGATTCACGAACTTGTTTGTCAACCATTTTCTGGTCCTCCTTTCTTGTGTCACTGACAACATACTTCTGAAAGAAATAAAAACTATGTTAGTACCCTAACTATTAGGATTTCATACATGTCAGTCACTAAATATTGTCACACGTCAAAAGTAGCAAATACACATCACGTACGGCAGTACTTTTAATTTACCTTCGTTTCAGTTGTGAACAATTCTCAGCGTCTGTCTTTCGCTCCTTGAGATCAATACGCCGGAAGTACTCATCATCAATGTGCTCAGGTATTTCAACTTTTGATAGGTCAACTCGTGTAGAGGTGGCTATGACGTAGCGCTGATTCACTCTACGAAGTGGAACACCATTATATTTGAAGGGGCCTAGATAGCTTAAGAATATGGACAGTATGTCGTACCTGTGACAAGCAGTAAACCACTCTTGAGGGTCTTCAAGAAAACTACGCGTTTACCCTTGTGTGGGCCAGCCAACAGAATCAGTACGGCACCCGGTTGAATACTGGAGCGGACCCTTCGCACGTGTTGAGAGAAGCATTTGGTCTTTCGAAGACGTAGTTTCTTCTTCCCCTGTTGTGTCACATAGCTGCACGGCTGTAACAAATTATTACACAACAAGTTATCTTACAAATCGTGTTTTCGGCTTCTCAGCTTCCTCTTTCGACTTAGGAGTTCTTAACTCAGGTAAAAGGTTTTGTCCGCTCTTCTTGCGTATCTCATTTATTTTGCTAACAAACTTCCGATGTCTAAACTGTCGTTTGGCGGATGCTCGCTTGTGTCGCACAACACGTTTGATATCCGTCATGATCAGCACGAGCCGAGTGATCGAAGACAGCGGTACGGAAGCGCGCCAAAATACTTAAACACATTCGACAAATTTCAATTAGGTAGTGGGAAAGTCGAGGTGACACGTGTAGCTTAGGTTGGAGAAGAGAGTGATAGAGCGCAAAGTACCAATTTGCCATCACAGAAGGCATGCAAAGAGATACGCTTCTCGTCAGAATACTGGATCAGACACGCTGTCACCCCTCGTTGAGGAAGTGGTAGATTGTCTCCATCTAAGTGTACTGAGGAAGCTTACATATGTAGCAGTACTGGTGAACCGAATTCACCGAATTCCTGTTAAATTCAGGTCAGCGCGCACGATCTTATGGGTCATTTTAAAGGGGGGGACGTGTGTTCGAAAGCATCGCTGAGTAAAAATCCAACTTCAAAGAAAATTCTAGGCCAGCTGTCTATGCAGCCAGCTAATGCCGTGGCAAGTGTGTAGTGTGCTAAGACTCTTAAGGATTGCTTCATCATATTGAACACCTTATTTTTCACACTGAAAACACTTAGCATGCTAAAAAAGTGTATCAAGCAGCCACTTCCTCTAGCACTCCTCCCGTGTCATTCACAGTTTTCGTCTATGTCGATACTTATCCCTTCATCCGGAAAGCTAAAATGGCACCAAAACTGCGATGGGTGGCATGGGCAGTCTAAAAAGAGTGATATTCATCTTAGCACTGGTAATTTGCCTAAAGTAGGACATGCATTGATGAGGGTGCTGTACAAATGGGAATAGTAAAGGTGATTAAAATATTTCAAACCACTACAAAGTTTAAAGGCTAACTCCGCATCTGGTAAGACTCTATGGCACAATGATAATGTTCCACGAAAAGCGTCGACACTGGTTCGGTGGCTGAAGAGGAAAATGATTCAAATGAAAACGAGAAAGATATGAAGCGCTAGTACGCTTATAGCTCAGGTCAGAAGAAAATAAGACGAAAGGAGTTTTTCTGTAGTGACGGACAGACTGGTCGATAGGAGGAATTTTGTTCGGGAAAAGTACGAAACACACATTTCCCCAGCTTCCCCCACCTTCAACTCAAACGAAACCTAATGGAAACTATAAGATGCAGGATAAAAGCCGTATGTTTGCCTGATAAAAGTGGGTGAGGGCTGACAACATGCACAACGCGCTGATTCAAAACGGCTATCCTGAAAGCTTCCCGGAGGAACATATAACAAAATAAGTAGAAAGGGTATTCCAACGGCTTGCAGGCCGGCGAGTACGATTTAGAGGTGACACGTTTGACGGATTATCAATTCAGAAGCTGCCTAGGTCAATTCAGAGAACACGTATTGGTGATGAACTGTAAACTGCTTTCTCTGAATGCCCAGAGGTTAACTCAAGGCTGCAAGATGAATTACCTAGACCGGCCACTTCCTATTGTGTTTATCACTTCGGGTGCTCCTTAGGAGCCAGTTACATCAGTCGCTGTTCTGGTCATTCAGTTTTTCGTGGTTAAATAAATGTGTGGTCAAGAATATTTTTAGCCCCATGGTACCGCACTCAGCAGAAACGAACGGTAACGTGGATATGAATAGGTCATTTTCCATCCCGCAACTACTTGGTCAAAATAGAAAGTGTTACCGCTACAACAACCGCGGCCAACTTCAGAACACACAACTTCATTCGTATCCTACGTCAAGCAATCTAATCTGGTCTCATACTGTAGATACCCTTTCACCCCAATAATCTGAAGTATTCTCAACAAAGTTCTCCAAAATGAGCAACATTCCATCAAACTAGCAATCCTCAAACTGTTCTTCTCAGTTTGGCCCACCCAGTTCTCACTAGCATCCCGTTGTTTTATTGCACCCTCGCCTTACAACCTCACACGCTCTAAGACGACCAATTATTCTGAATTGAATCCCCGTGACAACCGATTGTACCATTACCACCTATGCGTTGAGAGCCAACTCATGAGTACCGGTTCCACAAACGATGGTGGTGCTGATACGTAGAGAAAACGGAGACTTACATAGCATTGACATGGGTCTCATGGCTAAACCTAAAAAAACAACTGGCACAGAACAGATGCATAGCACCATGCAGGAGGTGATACGTTTCACAACATTCAGCTGCGTATTCGCTCCTCACTACCTGTAGACATTTCTTAGTTACTACACCAGCATTAATGTTTTTCGAGCAGCGATATCCCTCTAGACACTATTACTTAAACAACTAACCACCCACCTGAAACCCTAACATTCAACTCAATTCGTCGTCATTAGAAGCTGATTCCTAGTAGCAACAAACAGAGAAAAAGGAGTGGAGGCAACTTCAATAGACTGAAGTCCAAAACTCACAGAAGCTATTGGTGAACTAAAGACAGATATCAAGATGATGCAGGCTACCGAAACAGCATAAGGAAGTGAGGGGATGGCAGGTCTGATGGTGGGGTTTTTAAACTCACGCTGACAACAATCAAGCCGCTGACAACGACACCGAATGCCTCACAGTGTTATATCCTTGAAATCACCAAATGATGGCTAGTCGTTTCGACAAAACCATTATGCGATCAAGAAGATGCAAACAGAGCAAGAAGGCGAACTGCCCATCGCACAATAACCTCTCTAAACCCCCACTGCATGCCCTACATCCTCCCTTGCCCTGACATGACAGTGACTATCCTTAAGCTCTCTCCTCACAATCTAGCGTATGCATACCCAGGCTCACACCGGTTATCAAATGCTAAACAAACTCGCTATCTCGGGGTACTTGGAACAGCTCTGAAGCTTTAAAAGAATGCACCATATAAAACTACAAAGGTATCCCGTGAATGCAGTAATAAACTACTTAGCCCCCTACCCCCTCCGTCTTCTTTGTACACTCCTGTCGTTAATGCCATTCTCCTAAATTATCAGATAATTAAGGCCATTTCTCAGCCTCTACCTTTCCCTTCCTCATCCAGTTAGTGGATTATAACCGCGAATCATATCAACGCACACTCAACACACAAGCTTTGAAGTTTTATTCACGACCTACAAACTGTCGCTTCTCATCACATAGGAATGCAGGAATTAGATGCCAACTCATACCGGACAGCAAGCTTCCCTGCTGACAAGGTCGAAAGTCAAAGTGAACATCTAACCCTCAGGGGGACGTTGTATGAACCGAACGAAATAAATGCACATGCTTTCTGTCCATTAGTAACCTTGCAGTTATGCCGAACTTAGGTGGAGATTGAATCAAGTCAATCAGTATCCTTTTTGACTACAGCCATGAGTCACAAACAGAATCATGCCGGGTAAAGTGACATACACTCAATTACATTAAGTCATATGAAATAAATATTATTACGGTTGTCAAGACCTCTCTGAATTGAACCCCTCAAACGTATGGCGCTACTAACCGACTGATGACCGAAATATGAATATTGTTGGCGCGCGACTCCCCAATATGTACACATAACCGTAAGGCCTAAAGAAGAATACATCGAAAAGAATGCACATTTCGTCCGCTTAAATGGTCTCCAGCCACAGTGGGAATACTAAATGATAAGAATAATGTTATTCTGAACTAGGAGTATTCCATTTGATAAATTTTCATCGGCTTCTGCAATTACGAAGCGCGTTTGTGCAGCGTGAAATCAAGCCAAGTTGGAGGGATTTACAACTTCAAAGTGGGGTGAGATCTAAGGTTTGTGGGGAAATCGATTATTCCGTTTTAAGTTTGACAATATTAGGATGACTTATATGACTTATATATGTGATGGTGATCAAAATGGCAAAGCAATGAAGAAGACAGGAGTGGCTTGTTGAAGACCGATGGAAGAATAACGTTGGAAGGTGACCTTTCTGGATGCACATTTCAGGTCTGCTCAGCCTTGTGGCAACAGTCTCAGCTGTGTTGGGCAAGTGTTGGTGGGCCACACGTCATACTGTTTTCGGGATATGATGTGTGACGTTGAAGCTTTACTAGCACCCATATAATGCCCTGTGTCCACCGGGCGCGCCAAGATGGAGCCTAGCCCTACTTTCGCTTCGCCCCTTCCAAATGAAGCCGGTAGATACCCCGTGCCCGAAGATGCATCTGCTTAATCGTTTGCTTCATTTACTTTGTTCCACATGAGCAGTTAATTGATGTTTGCAAGATGAAAAGCTAAGATTAGACGGACTGTCACTCAGTCGCGGATTCATTGTTGGTCAACTTCTGAAATGTATTCATACCTGATCTGCATTTAGCTTGCTACTGACTGCCGTAGCTATGCGTTATGGTGCGATGTCACTTAGAGTGTCTTATTGGAACTTGAAACTCGGAAACAAGTGCTCCTTCTCTATTGTCATCATTTTTCATTTAGCTCCAACGTAATTGATGTTAGCTTTGATAAACTTACTCGGATACTCATTTTCACTTAGAATACCGTTGAAAAAATTCGTGCTTCCTCCATATACCTCTTGGAACAAAACCTTCCAAGCCTGAATGTCAGACATCCAGTTTCATTACGTTTTTACTTAATTGGTACGAATCTGAGAAAGTCGGTATTCTATGCCTTGGAGATCGGTTTCCTACATACGATTCTCACCACAGGACTGTCTTTTTATGTCATTAATCATTGAGAAAGTTCATGGAACCGCTGATTTCATTTTCATCTTTAAAGTGGACTGATGAGTGAGGGCTGCTGAAATGGTTTAGGACAGATTTGATACGAATTCACCTACCAGTGACTAAAGATCGACCATTCATTTATCCACAGTTTAACTTCGCATCGGCAGTTTGATATTTCAAAGGGCCATTTTCCACTTCGGCCAATAATATGTCTGCAAACATCATGGCCAATGGATGTCCCACAGCCACTCAGTTAACTTGTCTGTGAAGATTACCGTTAAGATGTACTGCGTATTCATTGTCTACTTTAGCAATAGTTCCTCCAAATCCATGATGGGAATGCCGGAGCCTTATTTCCTTTCAAATAGTTTTACCGAGATTTTATCTACCGTTTCCATTAGAGAGACGTTAGCCAACAAAGATGTGATAGAACGATTCCCTGCAGCTGTCTGCAATATTGAAGTACTTTACTTCGTTTACAATTTGGGGGC